CGAGGATCGTGCATCATATGTATCTAACACCGCAGTTCAAAATGTGTGAACTTCATATATTTCATTGTATCTGAAAGAGAGTTGTGACAAAGCAAAGTATAAGTTTGTTGAGCCTTTGACGTCATGATGACGTTTTTGCGCGCTCGGCTGGAACATGTTTTCAGCAACGGCGGACGATTTTTGGACGACTTTGAAGAGGTAAAAATTGGTCCTCGAAGGTTTTTGTTTGAGTTTTTAATGGCAAAAAGGGTCTTAACTTTACCCAATTCAACATTGTGTAAACAATTTAGGCCAAAATAAAATGGCCAATTTTCGTCTCTGGGGCACTTTAAACATAGAAAGCCTCTATTGACGATAATTAAAACCCTGTTTACTATTCTCTTTTCACTCCTTTTCCCAATTTTCACAAAACAAGTGTAATTCTCTTTCCTTTAATGTTGTATGCAAACCAAGCATGAATAATTTGCAACCCTCTTAGAATTGCTTGCACCTAGAATAAAGCTGGTGTAACTGTTAAGTTATCACTATTTCTATTTCTTGTGTCGATCCCTTAATTTTTTTTTTAACAAACTTTCACCATATCCGATAAGGTTTTAATCATAACTTTTAATCAAACTTATAAAAAGTTTTAATCAAACTTATAAAAAGAGGAATAGCCTTAGAAGGGGATTTAAGTTTCCCCTTCTACCATCCTGCCATCATAGTCAGCTTAACTCATTGTTATTATCAAAGAACCATAGAGGTGCAACATTTTTCTCCCATAATTCTCTTGGTGTACTTCCTCCAGTGCCCAAAATATCTTCCCTCCAAGGAGAGTCGATCCACTCCTTTGTACTGTAATGGGTTTTTAGACTCACTGATTCCCCCAAAGATTAATATCCTTTGTACCTGTCACATCTTGAGCCAGTAGTGACTCATACATTATATTGAAAGAACAAAATAACATTCCTTAACCCTATAACTCCCACAAGTAATTTATATGAAACTTCTCCCTGTAACATTCATTCATTATCAAGCATACAGGTTATGAGAACAATCTAACTTATCAATTAGAAATTTTCTTGATCTAACACCACATTCTTGCAATTACTTTACAAGGAAGTGTATAGCAGCTAGACAGGGAGAACAAATCCTAAACCTGCTAATGGCAATACATACAGAATTAAATTAGCCAGTCCTATCCAAGAGGGCTTTAATGAAATAACTAGCAGCACTTCCACCAGCCATTCCAAGTGTCATGCTTAACACACTCAAGTATCCAACAGTCTCCTTAGCTCTTCCTGGTACTTCAGATGAAGAGTAAGAGATAAGGGATGTTGTCAGGTGACCAGTTGATAGACCAAGTACTGCAACAAAAGTTGCCATCAAGGCAGGCCTTGTACTCATACTGTGAGGGGGTACACTCAGACAGATGCCAGCAATGATTAAGAAACGAGCAAGAGTTGATAACCATGCCCACCAAATAGAATACATGTAATACAAAGCTAATGGCCCTCGGCCAATAACATCACCAATATTGTATACTAAAATTAACAACACAGGGAACCAACCATTACCAATGAAGTCTGTTGCCATGGTAGCCACTGATGGTATCACAACATACTGTTGAGCAGTTACTAATGTAAGTAAAAAACAGTGGCAGAAGACATGTTTGTAGCGCAACACCCTTAGTGCTTCACTTGTAAAGAATGCAAAATGTTGAAAAGGATGCTTCCAGTCAGTATCAACACCACTTCTTGGAGCTTGAGAGTAGTACCGTTGAAATGCATCACCTCTAATGAGATGAAAGTAAACACCTACCACTACCAAAGTAAATATGGCTGCTGTCCCAAAGTAGTAATAGCTCGACACATGAAGATTTTTGGTAGCAGTCTTCGTCAAAACTCTTAAAGACGTCATAAGGAGACCACATAAGCCTACACCAAGCTGTGGAGAAAATGACAGGGAAACCTTTTATATCACATGACCGGAAGACTTGTTTCTATTTCAAAGCTCTCAGTGATATTCATTGCAAGTTATAATATTTCATTTTTTTTAAATGACAAAGGTGTTCTATGGTAATTCGTAATTAAATACCGAAACAATTTATATCATTCCACTTAATCATTATGCCACATTAATAGTGAAATGTACAAATATAACTGTTACAGTTAATGTAAAGGTTGATTTGTGAAAGAATGATGGACTGGCCCATACCAAAACAAATTATCTTTTAATTTGGCTCAGTGAGCCAACTTGTGAAATTAACAGTGAAATAAAACTTTTTATGTTCGCCCTAGTTCAGGAATACAAGTGCCCCTTGTCAGTGCTACAAAATCTCAATAATGGCCAAACATTGCATATCTTATGAATTCGTTTAATTGTTTTTTTATTTAGTCAATTTCCTTTCCTTTATGCATTAATCATAGATATGAGATTAAGAAAAGTCTATTGATAATGCAATTCATGCACATGACAGAATAAAAAGCAAATAAGAGAGTAAAATGTGACATAACCTGACACCCAACCATATTTTTGTTTTGTCAAAACAAAATGGTAATATAGTTCCAGGCATAAATCCTCTTATAGAGAAAAATAATAGTTGGAACCTGGCTTATTTATCTCCTTTAACAAAACAAAATGAATCCAAGGGGGTAGGGGGTCCATCTGAAAGTCCATATAAAACATTGATATTGCTATGCATTTCATAACAATGATATTTATTGTTATTTCTATGACAGGTTGACTTGCATCTACATGAAAATGCCCTAGACTCTTACAGTTCATATAGACTTGTATGTCTCATGATGATGGTATCAGTGTAAGATGATGGTCTTTCACAGTAAAGTGTATGCAACTTGTATATGTGTATCCCTGTGCATGTAATTTCTATCAAGTTTTGACCTGAGTTTTACTGTCTAAAGTTTAATCCACAGCTGTCTTACAATCTTTGTACACTTTGAACAAATGATGCTTTGGCACATAGAGTACATTTTTTTCCTGTAACTGGTGGAAGTTATAAATTTCCTTTCATCTTTGTGAGGAATTCTTCACTTTTCTCCTATGTTTAGATTAATTCTAAGAACCATTTAGCAATAACCTGATACCCAAGTTATGCCCTTCAATTTATTAATTTGAATATATCAACAAAGTTGAAATGGTAAATTGGCCACCGTTACGATTATAAAAGCTGAATGTCGATCAATATGATCAACATTTAGCACTACAAACGTCACAAAAGGAAGATTCTGACTGCATTCCATTCACTCTCACGTTTCACCCTCACAACCACTCAGTTAAATCCATCATTCTTAAAAACTTTAAATTACTTCAAAATGATCCAGAGACAAGCACTATCTTTTCGCAGCCTTCGCTCATTTCATTCAAACGCGACAAAAACACAAGCAATTTTTTGGTGAGAAGTTCTTTTTAGACTAATGAGCAACCAGGCACTTTTAAATGCGCTCGTGCATGATGCAAAATGTGTCCNAAGGAAGATTCCGACCGCATTCCATTCACTCTCACGTTTCACCCTCACAACCACTCAGTTAAATCCATCATTCTTAAAAACTTTAAATTACTTCAAAATGATCCAGAGACAAGCACTATCTTTTCGCAGCCTTCGCTCATTTCATTCAAACGCGACAAAAACACAAGCAATTTTTTGGTAAGAAGTTCTTTTTAGACTAATGAGCAACCAGGCACTTTTAAATGCGCTCGTGCATGATGCAAAATGTGTCCTTTCATTCACAACACTGAGAAAATATCGGGACCCAAACGATCCATTAAGATCACCGATCACTTCACGTGCACTTCACGTGCATCTGCAGTCTTTCCTTACACTTAGGTAGCACGGAAAGCCGTAAAACTCTTGAACAAAAGCTCATCTTTCAAACCGGCAGTCTAAATCCCTCAGGTATAAACAAACGCTTTTCATTCCACTAATTTATTCGTGTTTTTCTCATTGCCATGTTCCCATCAATCACGTAGCTCTTTTTTCTGCCTTTAAAAGCACACACAACCCACAATTCCTCTATTCGCTCTGACGAAGGGCTAACGCTCGAAACGTCAGCTTTTATGGTCGTAACGGTGGCCAATTTACCATTTCAACTTTGTTGATATATTCAAATTATTTCGTTACCCCCACTGACGCAGCCCCAAACAGTTTCTTTAGAAACTATCAGCCTTCCTTCAATTTATTGCTGCTTGAGCAATAACTGATATAAAGTGTTTTCAACTGTGTTGTTAACATCCACCTTCTGTGATATGCATAACCTTCAATATAGCTGGTAGTCTGCCAGTTTTAGCTTCTTGTACAAAAAAACTGATTTAAAAATAACAATAACAAAAAATCTCTGGCTTCTTGAGCGCTCTAAAAACCTCCCTAGTACTTCATATCTAATAAATACAAAGCTGATGCATGAACAAATTGTTTTATTAGACTTTCAATCTTGCAGTTGAATAAAACAAAATTCCTTTGTTGCACTTTGATGCCCTACTTCTTTTGTTTTGGAAAAATGTTTAGCCACGTTTCAACACTTGTCTAAAAATTGGTCATATTTGTGTGTGTAAATTACATTTCTTTTCCAGTCTGTTGATTAACCAATTTAAAACAGGCTTATCCTTACTTTGAATAACAGAAAATTGATCTTTGAACAGTTTATGTACATACATACATACATAGGTTAATTGACCACTCCCCATAGGGGCTTTTCAGGGCCAACACCCACCCATACCACCCCAGGGGAGGACATCCACCACACAGTAGTCTCATGCGTGGGAAATTAATGTCTCCTACACCTAACCCTACAGGAGACGGGGCCTACGGTTTATTCGTCTTTATCCGAGAAGACTAGAATATCTATCCATTTCTTGATATAGAAGGTAGCAAATTCTCCTCAGTTACTGACAATGGGTATTGGTCCGGCCGGGGCTTGAACCCTAGACCTCCCTCACAACCCAATCCAGCGCACTAACCAATTGAGCCATAAGGGATTGCAATATTCATATAAATTTTCTCAAATTTATCATACAAAAAAGGCAGGTCTTCATTGCTGGTTTGCTCATTACCATGAAAAAGTTGAACTTTTTGCTTAATTTTTTCTTCACCTTATACTGCAATATGTCAAAGTTGCTTGTAAATAAATTTCCTCTTTTTAGGGATGAGTTTGCCTACATAATCAGTATGCACAACTGGATTATGAAATATTCTCGCACAATGACTTTTATTACATGCATTTACCAACTTTGTTTTAAAAGGCATCAAAAAATGGCTACACTTGAATCTTAAAAAGTAATGTTGATTCCTGCACAAAACCAAGGAACAAAAGTGACTCATTTCAGTCATACTGCTACTATTTTAGTATTAAATAAAATATACACCATGTCACTGGAAAACATCTTCATCAAATTGGGGAGTTCACCATTTAACTTTTTTCTCAGACAATAGGAAGTATTCCCACTTTTCATGTATATGCAAAGTGAGCTCCAAAGTGGACGCTCTGGACAACCCTGGAAGGGAGTGGGGTCAGGATCGAATTTTCGAAGCGGCACCCTAATGGTGGAAAGTGGAAAAATCTCCTCAAATCCTGAAAGATGGTATGGTGGAAAATTAGCTCAAATTGTACTGTGGTTTATTGTTACAGTTGAATGAGAAATGAGTGCATTTTCCCCAGGATACTAATCTTCCAACTCATCAAATCCTGAAAAGATGAAATGCTGTAAAATTACCCCAAATCCTGAAAGACAAAACTATAAATAGTATGCACATAGTTAAATATATCTCTAGTCAAATATTTCCTATGGGACATCATAGCAGTCTGTATAAGAGAGAACTGAATTCAGCTTACCAGCTGGTGTTTCACCCTCATGAGTATCACTTCAGAAATTCATTCAAAACCCAAAAAATGACTTGTGCTCATAATGTGTGATATTACTTTGTGGCTATTCAGTGTGTTAGAGTTATTATAAATATTTGACTATATTAGATATATTTAACTATGTGCATACTATTTATAGTTTTGTCTTTCAGGATTTGGGGTAATTTTAAAGCATTTCATCTTTTCAGGATTTGAGGTAATTTTCTGGCATTCCATATTTTGAGGATTTGGGGTGATTTTGAAGTGTTCCATCTTTTAGGGTTTGAACTAATTTTTCCCCAATTCTGCCATTACATTTTCAAGTTAATGGCAAACAACTTTGGTGTGTGTTCTTTCCTTTTAATAAGTCTCATAGATACATCAGAGTGTTGAGTCACAACTGTGGAGAATAACTCCTACCAAAGTTTAAACCCACCACCAATATAATATGGAGTAGATAGGTCAGATAACAGAAACTGCCTTGTCTGTGCGAAACTGATGATGTTGATTTGGTTGTGCCACATTGGTGCTTGATTTGAACATAACTTGATTTAATTTGACTCTGGTTTGGTGTTCAAACATACATTTAAACCACAGGTAGCCCAAGCATACTGTGTGTGATTTTGGGGTCTAAAGTTCATTCATGGCAATACCCTTAACATATTAAGACTGAATTTTAAGAGTTAGTGTGGGCCTTTGAAAAAAGGAAAAATTCTAAAAAAATTAAGAAAAAATTAAAAAGGATAATAAAAGCAAGGAATAAAACGTGTGAAGTTTCCTTACCTTTATTCAGTAGCTGCTTTGTTGCCAAGAGTTGTTTTAACGCTGTTTTGGCGACTTTCTTTGTAATACGTGCCGTGTCACCAGTCAACTGTATAAAAGGAAAAATTATAAAAATATTAAGAAAAAATTAAAAAGGATAATAAAAGCGAGGAATATATCATATGAAGTCTCTTTTTTCAGTAGCTGCTTTGTCCTTTATGGTCCTTTTAACACTGTTTTGGCGACTTTCTTTGTAACGCATGTGGTGCTACCAGTCAACTGTATATAAAAAAATCTCAAGGCTGGAAACTTCAACCGGTCCTGAACACCAACCGTCACCACTCAAAGGCTAATAAATTCCAAAAAAGTCAACCAATCTCCCTCAAATTTCCACCTGCGAGAGCATTTAGCTATTACCTACCTGTTCCAGCGACAAAAGTTTTCAAATTCCACTGCATTAGTCTGAGAGCCGCTCTGTCTTACCATCCATTCTGGCAAAATCGCTTTGTAGATATGTGTAATCCTTTTGCCCTTACTACGGAATTCAAATGTCAAAGCGCATTGGATTGAATTACATGCACAACTCCCCAGATGGTGTTGTTTGACAATGGGGCAAACGTAACAACCTTCCTAACGATCCCCTGGAGAGTCTTTTATTTGGTCAGATGCACTTTGATATTTGAATCCCGTAGTAAGGGCAAAAGGATTACACATACCTAAAGAGCAATTTAGCCAGAATGGATGGTAAAACGGAGCAGCTCTTGGATCGATGCAGCAGAATTTGGAAACTTTTGCTGCTGGAATGGGTAGGTAATAGCTAAGCGCTCTCGCAGGTGGAAATTTGAGAGAGATCGGTCGACTTTTGTGGAATTTAACAGCCTTCGGGGGGCAACAGTTGGTGTTTGGGACTAGTTGAAGTTTCCAGCCTTGAGATTTTTTTATATACAGTTGACTTGTAGCACCACAAGCATCACAAAGAAAGTCACCAAAACAGCGTTAAAAGGACTGTAAACCACAAAGCAGCTACGGAAAAAAGGTAAGGAGACTTCATACGATATACTCCTCACTTTTATTATCCTTTTTGGTTTTTTCTTGTTTCTCTTTTTATAATTTTGACTGGTGACATGGCATGCGTTACAAGAAAGTGGCCGAAACAGCGTTAAAACGACTCTTGGCAACAGAGCGGCTACAGAATAAAGGTAAGGAAACTTTACATGTTTTATTCCTCGCTTTTATCATCCTTTTATAATTTTTTAAAAATCTTTTTTAGAATTTTTCCTTTTTTTAACGGCCCACACTTACGCTTAAAATTCAATCTTAATATGTTAGGTATTGCCGTTAATTGTTTTATTAAAAACGTTAAATTAAATTATTAAATTTTTAGCTCCCTTTTAATTTTAAGCTGACACGTACACTTGCCATATTTGTAGATTATGGTATATTGGCTGATATACCATAATGGCTAAGCTAATAAAAAGTCTTGAATTGCATTATCCAATGATCTAGTTTTTAATAATGAACTTTAGACCCCAAAATCACACATAGTACACTTGGGCCGCCTGTGCTTAAACGAAACATTACTAAATGATCAATCAAGCAGGCACTACATACAAATCCCACACTCACTTTCACTGACTGAACTTACCATTAGTCCGTGGGTGTATATAGGTGGTAGAGCATGAGTAGTAAGACCAAATAAAGTAGACTGGCACACGGCATCTACTAAACCAAGAATACCTGCTAGAAACAGAACGGACCAGTAGTGGCTCCTCAGACATGTTGACCCACATAACTCCAGCTGATCAAGAAAAATGAAGCCCAACATGCATATGACTACGACTGAAAATCCACTGACAATCCTCCATTTGAAACTAGCAGCACGACCCCACACCAAGTTAACGAAACAACCACAGAAGAGCAGCGGATTGTAGATTGCATTCATTGCAAATTCTGGTTGCCTGTGAGGAAAAATGTCATCGAAGTAATCAACTGCGGCGAAAATCACGAATATGGGAAGAACTGAGCCGATTCCGAACAAAACAAACTGTAAATACATGCCAATGTTTTTCCTCGTCAGCATAGTCACCAAAGTTTTGTCTTTGTTCCGACAATAGAGTTCAGAATCGTCGCCAATAAACTGTTCACACTCGACTTCTCTGTCAGCCATCGATGGATTATGCGAGGGATTTCCTCCCTTGCCTTGAAAAAAATTAAACATGGCCTTTCAACCTCCGAAATCCGCACGGAAGTTTTAAATTTCGACGCATATGAACACAAAGTTCGGTCAAGATTTTAACCATTGAATTCACTGGTGTTTGCCGGTACTTAGACAGGAAATTTTTCCAAGTGTCTTCTTGTACCTGCCACCTAGACCTGGACGACATCTCTTGGTACCAGTGCGCAGAGAGATTGGTCGATCAAACAAGCGGCAGTCAGCAGTGTGATGCAGTCGACTGGGACCGACTTTAAGGTGGCTCGTACCAGTTCCTCGCGCGGGGAACAGGTCACTCTTGCGTGACGCGCGCGAGAGAAACGTGCGAAAGAAGCGCGAGATCGAAAGATGAAAATTCAAAACAAAGATGGCGGCGCGTGGAATGTTTTCTACTTTTGTGAGAAGTTTACCTTAGAGCTTGTATTTGATGTGTTGAGCGGCCACTGTGAATGCAGGAGATAGAAAATAAGATAACGAAGACGATTTTCGGAGAAGTAAAGGTTGCTTCACTTCACATTTAAAAGAAATATTCAACCGATATGAAATCTTGCGACTGCGAAAAAAGAAGAACTCAAGTGAAGGATAATCTACCTGAAGTGGAAGAAGACTTTGAAACTTCAAGGAAAATAATATGATATAGCCAGAAGTCATGTGTAGGATTTTTAAGATGAGATCGGGAGGCTGTCTTTGATGGCTGTTTAATGATTTTCCTAGCAGTAAACGTCTGTAAACATCAGATCGTAGGTGCTCGCGCGAGCACACGCAATTGTCAGCGGTAGCTAAAACACATCATGAGCAAATGTCGATCTTACAGAATCCAGATTTTTAAATGTGCGAGAACACGCGTGGAAATTGCTAAACTCAAGAAAGCTATAGCATGAAAACAAGTCCGGTGACCCCTTCTTTTTATTGTTCCAATATGATAATAACGTTGAAAGGAATCATCAGAAAAAAAAACTAGAAAATTCTACGGAAGGAAATTTGCGATGTGTGAAAATTGCCCTTTTTGTAGATTTTCTGAAATTCCGCACCTTAGAATTTTTTAAAAATCTTTGTGCATTTTCCTTTTCAAGTGCGAAAAGCAATCACTGAAAAAAATCAGGGGGTCACCGGGCTAGTTTTCGAATTATTTAAGCCACAAGCTAAAAAAATGCGTCTGAATAAGCCTATGAAAGCGTTGCCATGGAAACTGCTAGTGACGAAATGACACTTATTTTTGGATAACCAATGATTATGTAATTCAACCCCGTAAAAGTGTTCAACTGGCCTTGGTCAGTCTTTCTGTTGTATTCTTTCAAAGTTATAAACCATCGAAAAGATGAAAACCGGTACGAGCCACCTTAAACAAACATATTGGCTTTTTCTGAAAATAGCCGGAAGAACTGTTTGGCCATAATCTATCGCACTACCATTTCTTTTCTACCAGTAATAATATGTCGTATTTGAAGTTTTTCATTGATAGATGAAGTTTTTGATTTGAAGTTTTTCATTGATAAATGGTTTGAAAAATCCAATTTAGTAGTTTAGATTTTTTTATCTCTATTTTTCTTTTTATTAGGTGGTCTGCCTAGTATGGGGACTTGTCTCTTTTGCTGACCATCCTTATGGCCTTTTTATTCCTTGTATATATTTTTTACTTATCTTCTTTTCTCTAGACCATGTTAACAGTGTCGCCATTAAATTGTAATAAATAAATAAATAAATATTTTTAAAAGAAGCTCTCTCTTATTCCCACCCGGTCAATTTCGCGTCAAAAATAAATTTTGCCTGAAACTCTGTCAATAGAAAGACTTTACTTGGGAAAGAACTAAATTAGATTAGGTTTGATTCAAGGTAATTTTTTTACTGCATTAGGGGCCATAACTATTTCCAGACCGTCGCAATGTCTCGAAAATTGCAAAAATAGGGGGCCGGATCGGATTGACAAAAACAGGATCGGATTGGACCGGATTGGACCGGATTGACAAATTAACAAAACCCGGACTGGATCCGAAAAGTTTTTAATATCCTATATTCTGATCCTTTTGGTAGGTGTTATACCATACAAACGAAACGAACAGTGAATACAGGTTGTAGAATTTCAAACAAATTCAATCAATTTTAGTGTAAGAGCGTACCTCGTATTGGAGCTATCCGTTAGTAAACGTGGAAAACATCCAAAAATCCATACAAGTTCTGCAGCCTTAAGAGAAACATGTCAAACGTGGCGACTGTTTTTCTTGCCATGCACAGTGTGAGCGCGAAGCCTCACGGGAGTTACAGGCGATGATGTTTAAGTTTTTGATCGGAGGTAATGACACCTGCTAAACAAGTGCCGGCCAACTGAGGCTGCTACGATTGGACCGTAATTGATTGTAGTTGAAAATGAATATCCACAGACGTTCTCAAGCTCACAATACGAAATGCATAGTTGTTTTATTACGAGCGGACGTGACCGTGACGGGAAAGTTGTGTTGTGTTACAATGCAAGTGGCGGAGTTTGACTAATATTAATGGTCGTGGGTCGTGGGTTGTGGGTACAAGTCGTGGGTCGTGGGTGTGGGTAAAAGTCGTGGGTGTGATAAATACAAAATAATAACAATAATCATTCAAAACGCTTGATCAACACAAAAAATAATCTTACATTGAAAAGAGAGAAGTGTTAATCTTAAAAGAGCAACGTTTTCAGAACATGAAAGAAGCTTCGATATAAAACGAGGATCAGAAACACGGCTATTGGCCGTGTTTTTGAATTAGAATTAAATTGTGCTCTCAATGCCGGTTAAAAGTAAATGAAGTTTCAAAAATAAAAGTAACAATATATCCCTTTGCTGATTAGGGAAAACAAAGCTTGTGTTGATCAATGACATTCAGACAAAGAACCGAATGCTTCATCAATTGCCATCTCTGTATCGCGTACCGTCTACCCCGCAACTAAGAAAAAAAATTAAGTGAAACAGCGAACTGTTGCAAGATAAGCCAATATATAGATAGCAACGTTGCAACGTTAGTTGCAGGTCTGGATATGTTGGCTCCAAGGTTTTTCCAAGGCTCGAAAACATAAAACCTCTGGTATCCAGTGTGCGGTATATAATCGACAACCGGAAATCGCAAGCCAATGTTAAATTGGTCACGACAACTGGCATTGGTGACAAAAAATTAAACGAAGAACCAAGTACAATCTTAAAATTTTTCTTCATCCATTTAACTAGCCAGGTCGTTTTCTAAATAATAAAATAAACTAGAGAAGAAGAATTATTGAAATAAGTAAATTAAAAAATAAAGAGGTTCTAATAGTTTCAATTTTTAAACGATTCATTTCTTATCTGACAAAGACCAGACTCGGCAGAGTTGCCGGAAATGTGACGTATTCGAGAAACATACCTTTCATTGTTCGTCGAGAAGTATTGCATTACTTCACGGTAGCTACTGACAGTCATGTTTCACGTCTTGTTTTGAGACGCTTACAGGATAAATTTTTGGAAAAGTAGAATAACAACGGTTCAAGTCACGTTTCGTGAAAAAAGCCACTCATTTCGAAATTTCCATGAAGAAAAGGCGATTCAACGTTCACGGCAATATAACCAAAAAAACCCTTTTCCCCTACAAAAATAACAATAATTTATTAGTAGTAGTGGTGCTATTATATGAGGAGTTTGACTAATGGTCGTGGGTCGTGGGTACAAGGGTTTTATAATATTTATGTATTATTATAACTAATATTTTAAATTATTATTGTTATTGTTAAGTATTAATCACAACCACGACTTTTACCCACACCCACACCCACGACCCACGACTTGCACGCACGACCCACGACCATTAGTCAAACTCCAAGTGGCGTATTGTGACAGAGTTCCGAAAAGTGGTGTTACATTACAGTGTCGACCGTCGATTTTGAGCGCTCTATAAAACAGTGTATGGAGTCCGTAATCGCGTTCTATCAAAACGTTCATTATGATAATGATAATCTTAAAGGCTTTTCGGCAAGTATTTACAATGATGGGTCAGTAATTTACAATAATGTTTACAGTCAAACTAAGTGAAGCGTACCCCTCATGATAACATTAATGATTTGATTATTTGAATATTGAACCCGCTAATCGTTTCAGGAGCACGAATTGAATATTTGAACTGGAACCCGCTAACCGTTTCAAGAATGCAATAATGGATTGATTATTTGAATATTAAACCCGATAGCCGTATTCGTTTTGAAAAGGCGCAGATCATTGTTCAAATCAGAAGTCATTTCTGATTGGATTATGCGAACACGTGATGATGTATCAAAACCATTTCAACATGGCGTCAGACGTGGCGGCGAAGGTGAGTTCGAGTGTTGTGCAGAACTTCTTGTAAATGGAATGTTATCGAGAGCTTTTTTCGCCTATTTACATCTTGACGAACTTGTAGAAATTCTTATGTGTATTCATGGTCGAAAAAAATAGTTTACGGGCGAAGCCATTCGTCATTCGTTCCGACGAAGGGCTAACGCTCGAAACGTCAGCTTTTGTAATCATTACGGTGGCCAATTTACCATTTCAACTTTGTTGATATATCCAAATTATTTCGTTACTTCCACCGACGCAGCCCCAAACAGCCTCTTTTTTATTTCGTTGGGGAAGGTACGTTTTTTATTGGGG